TGATTCTCATAAAGGTTCACATCCAGGAGTTGGTTAGTGGCTTCTTCTATAACTGACATGTTGGCAGTGCTTCCAAAATTCCCAACACAGTCCCGGTCACCGGTCAGCAGTCACCAGCACAGACTCTTCCGGCTCCGGCACCCTGCCGGCTCAGCGAGTTCCTGTTTTTTTTGGTCAGCATGTTTTCTCTGGCCACAGTGAGTTGCTTGAGTGCAGGTGTGGGGAAGAGCTGGAGAGAGCCGGGTTTTGGACCTGCGACGGCAACACAGCATCTACTCACAGTCCCCCTCTGGCCCTTGTCCTAACTGCAGGGTGTGCAGGGGATGTCCCCCCCCCCCCGGGACTTCGGGCTGAGTCGCGTGGTTTGCTGCACCCAGCAGGATGAGGGCAGGGGGAGGGAGTGCCCCTCCCCTGGCAGAGGCTTCTGGTGAAGCACCCCAACTGCAGCCTACCAAAGGCCAGCCCTGCAGAGCCCTGCTGGGCTAGACAGAGTGCTTGTATCAGAGTTGCTGCTAGTGGGCCCAGAGAGTGTGTGGGCACAATGAGCCCGTGTGCAGGGCCAGCCTCTGTCTGCGAGTGTGGCAGAGGGTGTGGGAGACGGAGCTAGTGGAGCTAGCAGGCCAGAGTGATCAGCACTAGGGAGAGAGGGAGAATGGCAGGAGAAGCCTCTGTGGATCAGAAATGTCAAGGGAGGTGAAGAATTGTGACAGGACTCTAGAACAGGGCTGGAAAGTCTGAGCTGGCCCAGCGTGGACTGCTCGTAACCCAAAGTGACGGGGTTTGAGAAGAGAAGGGGAGTGGATGACTGGGGAGGATGGATGGCAAGGTCCCTTGCAACGAGTAGATGGGATGGCTGAGGAGTCAGGTCCATGGGCCAAGGTAGCCATCGGGGACCTGGAGGGAAATAGCGTGCCATGAGGGAGGAGGAGGACTGCGCCCCAAAGAGTGAGAGCAGAGGGAATCCCCAGTGTCTGCTGTAGGAAGATGTTGCTGAAATCGGAGGACTGCGGTGTTGCGCTCTGCCCATTGTGGCCACTCGGGGAACTAGGAAGAGGACCCACCTCCATACTTGGCTCACCGTGATGGGCAAGGGGACCCGGCCTTCCTGTCGCAGCCCCAAAAGCTCCCACCCACACTTCATCAGCAAAACCAGTCTCCTGGTTGTACCTGACTCCGAGGGGCTCAGGAGCACGGCCCTCGTGAGGGGCAGTGGAGAATCTGTGAGTCAGGGCACACCCAGAAGTTCCTAATGACTTGCAAAGGGCTTAAGGTTCAAGAAGAGGCAGTGATTGCAGGTGGGGGTTGCAGGTGCCCCGGGGACTGTGGCTTCAACAGTGAGCTGAGCTTCACTGCTGGTTACACACAGTGGGGGAGGGGGGAAGCGCCCCCTTGACCACAGGATGACAGAGCAAGTGGTAGGGAGCAGGACAGAGAAGCCTCTTGACTCTGTCCACCCCAGCCACACATCCCAGGGGCACCTTTTTGGCCATTTCTTATTTTATTCTTATGGTGTTTCATCTCCATAATGTAGACAATAGGCTGCATGTTTTCTTCACTTAAGAATTTTGGACAGTATTTATCTTACACAATAAAATAAGTGCTATTTCTTATTTCAACAACCCTTTATTGATACAATTTTTATTGAGATACAATTCATGTCTCATATACTTCACCCACTGAAAGTGCATAATTCAACGGCTTTTAGTATTTTTTATTCAGAGTGGCACAGCTATCACCAAAGTCAATTTTAGAACATTTTCCTCATCCCAAGAAACAAGCCACACCCTTAGCCATCACCATCTCCATCTTCAATCTTCCACCCCTGCAGACCTATGCAACCGACAGGATTCAGGACACGTACATGCGCAGTGTGTTTTTCAAGCCACTGGGGCTGGGATTCAAGCCAGGGCTGGCCATGTGGGCTCCAACTCCCAGTGCACAGTGCTTAGTCAGTGTGCTATGGGGCTAGCTCAGTATTGCATTTCTTTTCATGACTGCACATTATCCCATTGTTTGGATAAAATACATTTTGTTTATCCATTATCAATTGATGAACATTCATTTCCTTCTACCTATTGACTATTTTTTAAAAAATTATTTAGTTTATTATTATTCTAATATTATTATTATTATTTTAAAATTTGACCAGAGAGAGAAGGAGAGAGAGAGCGAGATAGAGAGAAAGTCAGAAAGCAAACCTTCAGGTCCAGGACTTGAATTGTGGTTAGCCACGTGGTAGTCTAGCACCTTACCCACCATGCCACCTGCCAGCCCACCTATTGACTATTACAATGAGTGTTGCTAAACATATTCATGTGCAATTTTTTGTGTGGATATATGTTTTCCCTTTTTTTTTTTTTGTGATATACAAAGGATCTTCAAAAAGTTTATGGGGATATATGTTTTTCCCTTTTTTTTTATTGATATACAAAGGATCTTCAAAAAGTTTATGGAAAATGTGTGTTATGAAAAAAACCATGCATGGATTGTAACATTTTTTGGCACCAAAATAAACTCACACTCCTTCATTATAACGTGTCTAAACAAGATCTAGTTTGAGGCATTAAGAAGGATAGTCATCAGTTTGAAAAGAGCCCCTATCTTTTTCCCTTTTTTTTTATTGATATACAAAGGATCTTCAAAAAGTTTATGGAAAATGTGTGTTATGAAAAAAACCATGCATGGATTGTAACATTTTTTGGCACCAAAATAAACTCACACTCCTTCATTATAACGTGTCTAAACAAGATCTAGTTTGAGGCATTAAGAAGGATAGTCATCAGTTTGAAAAGAGCCCCTATCAGAGTAGATGAATTCTGCTAAAATTGAAGCAGCAACAAACATCGAATTTACAGTGACGCTTGGGTGGAAGAATGGTGAAATCATTGCCGCTTTACAAAAAGTTTATAGGATAATGCCCTAAAGAAATCGGCAATTTCCAAGTGGTAAACTCATTTTAAGAAGGAACAGGATGGGGCCAGCGGGTGGTCTAGTGGTTAAAGTGCTCGACTCCCACATGGCCAACTGTGGTTTGACTTGGGGACCCAGCAGCTTGAAAATCATGCTGGGTGCATGCGTGTGTCCCTAAAATCCTAAGAAGAGACTAGAGGATAAGGGATTGAGTCATGACCATACACCCAGGAGATGATTTCTCACTCTCCTTCTCCCTGTCTCTCTCTATCTCTGGCAAGCACATAGGCTCTATGGCAAAAACCTTGAAAAGAAAAAAAGAAAAGGAAGGGATGAGATGATTTTGAAGATGACACCCAAAATGGAATACTAGTCACATCAATTTGTACGGAAAAAAAAATGATTTTTGTCCTCACTGAAGAGGACTAATATTTTTTAAAGAATCACTTCATTTAATTTAATTTTATTATTATTATTGTTTTAAAATTTGACCAGAGAGAGAGGGAAAGTGAGAAACCAAGCCTCCAGGTCCAGGACTCAAATCCCAGTTGTCCATGTGGGAGGCTAGCATCTTAACCACCACTATACCTGCCAGCACCATGAGAACTAATTATTAACAGCAGAAAAAATAGCCAACACTGATGACATCTCAATGGGTTCAGCTTACACAATTTTTACTGAAAAATTAAAGTTGAGCAAACTTTCTGCTTGACGGGTGCCAAAACTATTATACCCACACCAGTTGCAGATGAGAACAGAGCTTTTGGAGGACATTTTTAACAAGTGGAATCAAGATACTAAAGCATTTCTTTGAAGAATTGTAATAGAAAATGACACATCGCTTTACCAGTGTGATCCTGAAGACAAAACACAATCAAAGTAAGTCTACTAAGAGGAGGAGTGGGCCAGTCAGAATTACTAAGAGGAGGAGTGGGCCAGTCAGAATTACTAGGAGGGGGAGTGGTCCAGTCAGAGTGGAAGCAGACTGGTTGAGAGCAAAGGTCATAGTCACAGGTTTTTTGGATGCTTAAGTCATTTTGCTTGTTGACATTTGGGCAGACTAAAGGATAACATTTGCTTATTGTGAGAGTGTTTTGAGAAAGTTAGCAAAAGCTTTAGCATGAAAATGCTCCGGAAAGCTTCACCAGAGTCCTTGTCTATCATGACAACACTCATTCTTCTCATCAAACAAGGGCAGTTTTGCACATTAAAAAAAAATTTTTTTGGAGAGGTTTTTGCTATAGGGTGTGTGCACTCACCAGAAAGAGACAGAGAGACAGAAACAAGAGATCATCGCCCAGGGGAAATGGCCACACCACAATCCCTTCTCCTCCTTTCTCCTCTCGGGATCTTGGGCACGTATGCACACGCGCCTGGCGTGAGTTTAAGCCACTGGGTCTGGGACTCGAACTATGGTCGATGATATGAGAGTCCAGTGACATAGCCATTACACCTACTGCTGGTCCCCAGTTTTGTACCCTATGTGCATGATTTGGGTCTTTTGGACTTTTTTCTGTTTCCTAATCTTAATACATCTTTAAAGGGCACCCACTTTCCTTCAGTTAGCAATGTAAAAAAAGACTGCACTGATATAGGTAGACACCCAGGGCCCTCAGTTCTTTAGAGATGGACTAAATGACTGTGTAGACACACACACACACACACACACATGTATATATATGTATTAGTTTTCTACAGGGCACACGTGCTCACTGGAGAGTGTCACAGGCAAAGTGAGAAATCACCCCTCAGGGGGATGACCATGCCACAATCCCTTCTTCCATTCTCCTACTGGGATTTTGGGCATCCATGCACATGCACCTGACATGCTCTTCAAATGACCAGTTTTGGGACTGAAATTGCAGAGTCAGCCATGTGGGGTCCAGCACTTTAGCCTCACCACCTGCTGGACCAATAGAGGTAGCACTTTTCATTTTTTACCTTTTTTTCCCTATGCATTTATTTATTTATAAAATTTTATATAACAAAAAATGCACAGGTAACATTTATAACAATAACTTACAGACAAACTAATGATAAACTATAATTTCACAAAAGATGGTGAACATTTTGCACACTTGTCAGTCCTTTATTTTAGACAAGGCGCTTTTTTGGTGACAAACAGATACACACTAGAGTGAACTATAATATTTCCGGACAATACAGAGAAAAGGTCTTGATTTGTTTTTCTCTTGTAAGTGTAAGTTTATCATGTATAATCTTCAAATATTATTGCACTTAAACTTTCATAATTTGATAAAGCATTCATGAAACAATTTGCAGACTAGTTTAACAGACACATAACACCTTTTTAAAAGAGATTTTTGCTATAGGGCACATGAGCTTGCTGGAGAGACAGAGAGAGAAAGTGAGAAATCGCCCCCCAGGAGAGATGGCAACACCACAATCCCTTCTCCTTTCTCCTCTTGGGATTGCAGGCAGATACGCACAAGTGCCTGGTATGGATTTTAAGCTGTCTGAGTCTAGCACTTGATCTGTGGTTGGCCACATGGGAGTCCAGCACTTTAACCACCTGTAGGCCCCCGCATAACACTTTTAAGCAGATATAACTGTCCTAATTATTTTTCTCATACCCACTCTTTACTATTTTTACCTAATTTTTTTGGAGAGGTTTTTGCTATAGGGTACGTATGCTTGCCAGAAAGATAGAGAGGAATAGAGAGACAGAAAGTGAGAAGCCACCCCCCGGGGGGATGGCCATGCTGCAATCCCTTCTTCTCCATCCTCCTCTTGGGATCTTGGACATGCACACGCATGTGCCTGGCATGAGCTTTAAGCCACCAGGTCCAGGGCTAGAACTGTGGTCAACTACAGGGGAGTCCAGCAATGTAGCCATTATGCTATCTGCTGGTCCCACTATTTTTACCTTCTAATTCAATTTTTTTCCACACAATTTTTGAAGTTCCCTAATATATATCTAGGAGTAGAATTGCTGGGCCATGTAGTGTCCTGTTAACCTTTGGAGGAATTGTCAAACTGTTTTCCACACAGCAGTGGCACCATTTTATATTCCCACTGGAATGTGTGTGAGTTCCAATTTGCTCATGTTTGTCAACACTTGTTATCATTTGCTCTATTTTTTTTTCTTTTTTTTGGAGAGGTTTTTGCTATAGAGCGCGTGCGCTCGCCAGACAGACAGAGAGAGACAGAGAGATAGAAAGCGAAAAATAACCCCCCAGGGGGGATGGCCAAGCCGCAATCCCTTCTCCTCCATTCTCCTCTCGGGATCTTGGGCACGCACGCACACGCATCTGGTGTGAGTTTAAGCCACCAGGTCCGGGACTCGAACCGCAGTTGACTACATGGGAGTCCAGTGACATAGCCATTACGCTAACTGCTGGTCCCTCTTTTGCTCTTTTGATCATAGTTATCCTGTTGGTTGTGAAGTGTTCTCATTGTGGTTTTGATTTCCATTTCTCCAAGGGCAAGTGATGCTGAGTACTTTCAATGTGTTTATTGGACACTAATTTATATTCTTTGGAGAAATATCTATTATGATCTATTCATTGCCTATTTTAAAACAGGGTTGTCTTTTTGTTCTAGAGATATAAGAATTCTCTGTATGTTCTGGATACTAGATTCTTATCAGAGATATGATTTACAAATATTTTCTTCCATTCAGTAGGTTGTCTGTTCCATCTTAAAAGTGTCGTTTGGGTCAGTCCTGTGGTGCAGCAGTTAAGTCTGTGCATAGAAAGCTGGATCTCACATGGCTGGCTGTGGTTCAGATGTTAGCCCAGTGTGCCCCAAATCCTGATGAGATGGAGAAATAGAGGGAAAAGTGTTGTGGTGTGGCCACACCCCATTGGAGGGTGCTTTCTCCCTCTTTCTCTCTCTCTTGCACATGCCCTCTGGAAATTTTTTTAAAAAAGGAAGGAAGAAAAAGGAAGAAAAAAGAAAAGAAAAAGGGACCACTCCATGGTCAGGTGATTAAGGGAGCCATATCCTACATGGCTGACAATGTGGTTTGAATGCCAGACTTGGTGGCTTGAAAAACACACCAGGCATGTGTGCCCAATACCAAACGGAATGGGAAAATGGAGGATAAAGGACTGTGGAGTAACCACGCCCCACTGTTAGTACTTTCTCCCTCTCCCTGTCTCTGGCAAGGGCACATACCTTCTGTCAAATTAAAAAATGAAAGAAAAAGGAAAGGAAAAGAATAAATCATGGAGGTTGGCTTTGATAACCTCCAATTTATTAATATCGGGCTGTCAGGAAAGTCATGATGCATTTTTTCATAGAAAAGCGTGTCACGACTTTCCTGACAACCTAATAATTATTTTTGTTGTTGATTGTGCTTTTGGTATCATATCTAAAAAAACCATTGCCAAATCCAAGGTCATGAAGATTTACCCCATATTTGAAAGTACCCCTAATGGGAAATTTTAGTCACATTGCAAACCTTTCTCCTGCACCTCTCTATCCTGTTGGGATTTGGGGCAAGCATGCACACATGCCTGGGATGTTTCTCAAGCTGCCAGGTCTGGGATTCAAACCATCTGGTCAGCCATATTGGTTCCAGCCACTTTGAGCACCAGAACATGGAGCTGGCCCCCTTTGATCCATTTTGCGTTTTATTTTTGTATGCAGAGTGAGAGAAGGTCCAATTGTGTCCCTTGCATGTAGATATCCAGTGGTCTCAGCTCCATTTGATGAAGATAGTATTTTATTATTCAAAGGTCTTGTTACTCTTGTCAAAATTCAATTGAACATGGATGTGTGGGTTCACTTCTGGATTCTTCGTTCTGTACTCTTGAGGTGTATGTGTTTCCTATTCCTGTTTTGTGTGTTTTCCTCAAATTTGGTCTGAGGCCTGTCTCTGGACAGTGGCTATAAACTCTATCTAGCCTTTTCTTGGTGGGGCTCTAGAGGATTTGGTCCTGGATGTTTATGGTGTGCTTCCAGAGTACTTTTTTTTTTTTTTTAAGGTTTTTGCCACATAGTGTGTATGCTCACCAGAGAGACAGAGAGACAGCGAGACAGTTAGAGGAAAAGTGAGAAATCATCACCTGGGGGGATGGCCACACAACAATCCCTTCTCCATTCTCCTCCTGGGATTTTGGGCACGTGCCTGGCGTGAGTTTCAAGCTGCCTGGTCTGGGACTTGAACTGTGGTCATCCATATGAGAGTGTCTTTACCATTATACCACCTGCTGGCCCTCACAGGGTACTTTACACCCTGGAGGACAGCTTGACGTCTCTGAGTCTGACTGTGACCAGGAGTCCCTCCCACAGGAAGCTTGTTTTTATGGCACACGCCATGGTGGCTCTTGTCTGTGCTCAGTGTACTCCTCCCAAGACAGCCCCTGACTGGGGAGGGTCACATGCCACCCACAGAAGGCAGCTCACCAAGCACAGGAAATGACAGCCATTTTATTCCTTACAGCCCGAGAGGAGCAGGCAGCGGGAGGGGTCGGCCACGTGGGCCCCATCAGACTGCGCCGCTGAGCTGGCCCTACCTCCAGTAGCATTGTCATTTTCAGGGTATCCATTCTGCCCTCAATAACTTTTTCCTCTCCCCCTCAGCTCTTCACTTTGTAAAAGGAACCTTTCAGAGTTCTTGTTTATTCTTCTACTTGTCCCTCCCACCACCTGTTATTAACGAGGTGGGATGTCTTCTGCAGTGTTCTGGTGTTTCAGACAAAGAATTGAATGAAATACACCAATATTGCAAGGAAAGGGTAGTTTGTTAAGTAAAAGTGAAAAGGAAACTCCCAAGAAGTAAGAGTGGGCCCACGTGTGAAAGAGAAGTGGCCCAAGGGCCGTGGTTGTCGCTTTCCATGAGGTTTTTAATTCCTTAACCTGGGTAGTGTTAGTTGGTCACTGCTGGGCCCACTGATTACTTTCATCCCATT